TACCGTAGTCCATTATCCAGAAAACGCACTTTTAGACTTCGACTCATTCTCTGGGGGGAGCGGTTGTGGCTGCATCTTGTCTGGTGACTTATTTGATTCTGCAATGACTGGTCGCGGCAAGGGAGGCAAAGGACTTGGAAAGGGTGGCGCCAAACGTCATCGCAAGGTTCTTCGTGACAACATCCAGGGCATCACCAAGCCCGCTATTCGTCGGCTGGCTCGTCGTGGCGGCCCGTCAAACGTATTTCTGGCCTGATCTACGAGGAAACTCGAGGAGTTCTCAAAGTTTTCTTAGAGAACGTCATCCGAGATGCCGTCACATACACAGAACACGCCAAGAGGAAAACTGTTACTGCAATGGATGTCGTTTATGCCTTGAAACGGCAAGGACGCACCCTCTATGGCTTTGGTGGTTAAATCATTACAACTACCAACGATCTTTTTTCCTCAACAAACAAACATCATCATCGAGGAAAAGAAAAAAAAAAGGACCTTATTAAAGGTCCATATTGATTTCAACGAAAAGAGTTTGCAATTAGACAATATATTACATGAATAGTATAAAACTAAATTACCTTCCTAGCTACATGAAATAAATATATATATTAAAATTATAATATATATATATATATATATATATATATATATATATAATATATATATAATATATAATATTTTTAAATATAATATATAATATATATATATATATATATATTATTAATAATCAGTATAGTTTACTAAAGAAATTACTTTGGAATTTGACGTTTCTGCAAGAATTTATTAAAAAAAGGTTTCTTGCTTGCTTCCTTCAGGTCTTGACTGATCGCTGAATGTTGGTTTTCAGGCGTGCGTGCGCGCGCGTGCGTGTGTGTGTGCTCACCTAGTTGAGGTTGCGGGGGTCGAGTCCGAGCTCCTGGCCCGTGTTGTGTGTGTGTGTGTGTGTGTGTGTTGTGTGTGTAGGGTAGGGGGGTAGGGGCTGTGGTTGTGTGGGTATGGACACAATGAAACAGGTATTGCAGCTTCGTCCTTAGGGAAAACAACCGTGTTTTCATGTGTCCAGAGTTTTTCATTTAATTATTGTTTTTTTACGGCTGCCTGACAGACTTAGGCGTGGCCTAGTATTGTAACTGAAAGTAAATCGTTTGTTTGGTAGCTACCAAATGTAGTTAGACAAATCCGTTTGTCGAAATGGTTGTTTTTGAGAGGGACTAATAGTAGTATTGAGTACAAAGGATATGGAATCCTATGTCTTCTTTCCTTGAGCATGTAGAACATTAAGAACGAAAGGAACCACTGGCAGAAGCATGTAAAGGACCTGCCTAGTATGGGCCAACAGGCCTGCTGCAGTGATCCTCCTTTCTTTTTGGTTCTATGTTCTTATCTAGGTCACATTGAAAAACAACATTGCTTCAAGAATTTGAAAGGGCCGCCGAGCCGGCCGGCAGGCAGGCAGGCAGGCAGGCAGGCAGGCAGGCAGGCAGGCTAGAATATGCCAGAAGGCTTGTCTCAGTGTTCCTCCATTAACTTGTTTTTTCTGTTGTGGCTACAGTACAGTACAGCCAGCACATAAATGATGGCCAGCCAGTACTGACTCCCCACTCCACCCCCCGCCATTGTAGATGAATGGTTCAGAGAACCGACATGTTGATAAATTAGACACATGTGCAACTCTTGGGTATCTTTAATGAGGAAACGTTTCACCACGCAGTGGCTTCATCAGTCCATACGTAGGAGAAACTTGAAGAACAGGAGGAGAATGAGGTAATCAGTCCCTCAACCCCCCGCATCCCCACACCCCCCAAATAAAAGGTTCACATTAAAGTGCATAATGATGTAACTAAGTAAAGTAAGTAAATAACATAATAATTTGAGCAGAGCTATAAATAAATACAAATCTCAGAATTACTTGGTGTTAAATTACCGAGGATAACCGGAAATAGTTATTGTGACTTATTTTCATTCTAAGTTGATGCTCACTTTAAAGTTTATTAAGTTAACTTTATTTCCTTTTTATGTCTTATTGTTACAAGTGATTCTCACACAACACAATTACTTAGGTGGCGGATCTAAGTTTGAATGAAGGTATTATATTTAGAAATTCTTGAATTATTACAAGGACACAAAATGCAGAGGAGTTATTAAGGTTGTTTGACTCGGGTAGGTTATCCTAAGTAATATACACTATGTATGGTAATTTTAGCTGTGTGTACATATTAGGTAAAAGGACACACATGCATCAAGGTAATATACATAAATACCTTCATACATACATGAATAAATAAATACATACATACATACATACATACATACATACATACATACATAAATATGTCCCCCCTTATATCTATTGTTTGTAACGGCTTAACAAACCTCTTTGTCACGTGTTTAGCATGAGATATTTGATTTGAACAACGTTTTTTGCCTCCCTCCCAGCCAGCCGGCCTCTCAGCCGGCCTCCCAGCCGGCTCCAGCCTGACTCGGAGCCTGTCTCCCATCCCAGCCTGCTTGCTTGGCCGGCCCAGAAAAATATTAATAATAATAATAATAATAATAATAATAATAATAATAATAATAATAATAATAATAATAATAATAATAGTAATAATAATAATAATAATAGTATATAAATAATAATATAGTATGAATAATAAAATAATAATAATAAATAATAATAATAATAATAATAGTAATAATAATAATAATAATAGTAATAATAATAATAATAATAATAATAATAATAATAATAATAATAGTAATAATAATAATAATGACCATGTGACTATGTGAATTTGGTAAATAGATGTATATGTGGTAAATAGATGTAAATTACCTACCTAGGATAACCCAAGAAATTAATTACAAATATATATTTCTTTTTCCCAAACAAATTGTAGAATTGTTTATTTGTCACGTTGCATTTATTAAAGTGATTAAGTTAGTAATTAAGTAAATAAGTAAGTAAGTAACTGAAGTAATTGTGTGTACTTGTATGTACCACAACATTTATAAGAAATTAATATGTGATACAGCATAGCTTATGTGTTTTTGCTAAATATATATGTGCACTAAAATAAACTTCATTACTTACTTACTTAATTAATTACTTACTTACTTAATTACTTAATTACTTACTTACTTACTTGGAAACTTTGGTGTGTGTTAGATACTTCTTGCCTAAAAACGTGGCTTATAAAGAGTATTTGCACAAGGTACTGTGTCAACGGCCATACCACGTTGAACACACCGCTTCTCGTCCGATCAGCGAAGTTAAGCAACGTTGGGTTTGGTTAGTACTTGGATGGGTGACCGCCTGGGAACACCAAATGCTGTTGGCATTAAACCTTTTTTTTTGGCTTTTCTTTACAAGTCATAGCCTAATATATCGATAGGAGACATTTCACAGAATTATTGTTAGCAAACCTAATCACGTTTGAGTTTATAAACGAACATAATCCATACGCTGAAGTAGTATTATTTAGTGGCTACCTACCTCCTCCCAAGACCCACTTAAAGACACCCATTCTCTACTAATCAACTGAAAACGGGAAACTCTAAATAGGAGGGTAACTTGTTTTAGCACATGCATTTAATGCTTAATATCTTAAGATATTATTCCAAGAACTAAATTTTTGGTTTTCCCTGTGCCGGCCGTCGGACAGAAGTCCTCTTTGTCACGTGTTTAGGACCAGACATTTATTTGATTTGATTTGATTTAATTTCATTTGATTTGAGCAAAGCAACGTTTTTGAATGAAAAATTACCAGCCAGCCAGCCAGCCAGCCAGCCAGCCAGCCAGCCAGCCAGCCAGCCAGCCAGCCAGCCAGCCAGCCAGCCAGCCACCTCTTTCCTCAGCTAGCTACCTAGCTAGCTAGGTAGCTAGCTGGCTGGCTGCCTGGCTGCCTGGCTGCCTGGCTGCCTGCCTGCCTGCCTGCCTGCCTGCCTGCCTGCCTGCCTGCCTGCCTGCCTGCTCTGCTGGCTGCTGCTGGCTGGCTGCTGCTGGCTGGCTGGCTGGCTGGCTGCCTGCCTGCCAGCCAGTTACTTAGTTAGTTAGTTAGTTAGTTAGTTTGTTTGTTTGTTTGTTTGTTTGTTTCTTAGTTTGTTAAATACGTAAATATATGTAAATTACCTAGGATAACCCAAGAAAATAAATTAAAAATGTATCCTTTTTTTTCCACATTTCCGCATTTATTAAACTTAATAAGTTAGTAAGTAAGTAAGTAAGTAAGTAAGTAAGTAAGTAAGTAAGTAAGTAAGTAAGTAAGTAAGTAAGTAACAAAGTAAGTAACGAAGTAACTAAGTAGCAACCAACCAACGAACCAACCAACCAACCAACCAACCAACCAACCAACCAACCAACCAACCAACCAACCAACCAACCAACCAACCAACCAACCAACCAAATAATAGGTTGGTTGGTTGGTTGGTTGGTTGGTTGGTTGGTTGGTTGGTTGGTTGGTTGGTTGGTTGGTTGGTTGGTTCGTTGGTTGGTTGGTAGGTAGGTAGGTAGGTAGGTAGGTAGGTAGGTAGGTAGGTAGGTAGGTAGGTAGGTAGGTAGGTAGGTAGGTAGGTAGTTACCAAGGTAGCTAGTAGGTAGGTGGCTACCTACCTACCTACCTACCTACCTACCTACCTACCTACCTACCTACCTACCTACCTACCTACCTACCTAACAACCTACATACCTACTACCTAACGACCTACCAGCTAACTAGTAGGCAAGGAAGGAGGATGACAGCGGTATTTACTTTGTTATTCTGTTATCCATTGTATATGACACTTTGTTCTTTCTTACTTACTTACTTACTTACTTACTTACTTACTTACTTACTTGGTTGGTAGGTAGGTAGGTAGGTAGGTAGGTAGGTAGGTAGGTAGGTAGGTAGGTAGTTAGTTAGTTAGTTAGTTAGTTAGTTAGTTAGTTAGTTAGTTAGTTTGTTTGTTTGTTCGTTTCTGAGTTTGTTAAGTAGCTAAATAGATGTAAATTACCTAGGATAACCCAAGAAAATAAATTAAAAATATATCCTTTTTTTTCCAACTTTTCCGCATTTATTAAACTTAATAAGTTAGTAATTAAGTAAGTATTAAGTAAGTAAGTAAGTAAGTAAGTAAGTAACGAAGTAAGTAAGTAACGAAGTAAGTAAGTAACGAATTAAGTAAGTAACGAAGTAAGTAACGAAGTAAGTAAGTAACGAAGTAAGTAAGTAACGAAGTAAGTAAGTAACGAAGTAAGTAAGTAACGAAGTAAGTAACGAAGTAAGTAACGAAGTAACTAAGTAGCAACCAAACAACCAACCAACCAACCAAATAACAGGTTGGTTGGTTGGTTGGTTGGTTGGTTGGTTGGTTGGGGTTGGTTGGTTGGTTGGTTGGTTGGTTGGTTGGTTGGTTGGTTGGTTGGTTGGCACATAAATAAGGCAACAAAGTGAAATACCGTTGTGTGCCCTGCCTGCCAGTAGGTAGGTAGGTAGGTAGGATAGGTAGGTGGTAGTAGGTCTAGTAGGTAGGTAGGTAGACAGGCTTCTAAGTGGTTGGTTAAAAAGAAAACACACAAACACCATGCTACACA